AACATACTGTTGCCTGTTTTAGATACATGACTGCTATTGAAATCTACAGATATCAGCAATGACACTTTTTCTTGCCATATTTTATATACTTGTCATCCCTACCATCAATACTTACTACAGAGATTCTAACTTAAACTGAATTAGAAAAAAGAAGGTTTATTTCTGTCTAACTGAAGGTGAAAAATAAAAGTGAGAAGCTAAGCTGTGTTGAATGGTGCGTGTGCTGGACTGAGATTCAAACCAGTTCTTTACTGGCAAATTTCATTTTGTTGACTGCAGGGCATTTAGTTCTTTGGCAAAACAAGCAAACAGTAAAATTGTGCTAGCCATTACAGCACAGTCTTGCAACAAAGTAGTTCTGCTATCAGCAGAAATCCAGAGCATCTCAACTACAGCTTCTAGGCTCCTTGCTGAAGGCTCGTACACCACATGTAGGTCGTGGTCTTTTGCTTGTCGCTTTTCAGCTTGAAATCAAGGTAACAGAGGGTTGAAGTATTGCTGTTTACACCTCTCTTCAGGTTCTCTTAAGATTTTTCTTCAGCTTTACTAAAAACTTCTGTCTGTCTTTCAGGTCTATAAACAAGAACAAGAGGAGGAGTTAAAGAAGAAGATGGCCTTGGATCCTCGATGGAAGAGGTATCGGAGGTGGATGAGAAATGAAGGACCTGGAAGACTGACTTTCATTGATGACTGAAAGTTGCTGAACACAGTGCGTGCTGATGTCGGCAGTGATCTGCAAAACTTTTTGCTACATCATTCAGAGTTTTATCTGCTGGTTTGGCAGTGATCTAAAACTCAGGAATTATTAAATGAGGCCGAAAAATAGTACAGGTTTACGGTTTTTATAAATCAGAATTATTAAACAGGCATAACTCAATGTGTATATCTTACATGGGGATCTTAATGTGGAATTCATTATTTCAAATAATGTATTTCCTCTACATATTTCCTTCTCATGATCAATGGAATCGTAATTTCAATCTTTCTGAACCTGTTTCTTGATCTGTCCTTGGAAGTCTCGGTTCTTGATTCTAAACCGAAGGGTTCATGCGAGTGAACACTGGAAATTGAAATTGTTGGGAAGGACTCTGAAGCAAGGGCCATTTCTTACTTTCCTCTTCTCTTCCACCTACTTTTCAACTTACTTTTTACAATGCCAAATTGTTTTTTGATGTAGACAAAATGGGGATTATACCAGACTACTTCTTTTGCTATTCCCTCTCCAATTGGAAATGAATTTTATTCTTTGTGGGAATAAATGATGCATGATTGATCACCGTTATGGTGCAAACCAGCCTTAATTCTTTGTTCTGCAGAGTGGTTCACGAAATAGCATACTTAAGTCACTTACGTTTGGTTTTAAATCTTGTACATTAGATTGTACCTACATGTTCAGAACAAGCGTACCAGTGAATACTAGGCAACTAAATGTGAAACTTCTTTCACCAAAGTATTGGTAAAGGGAAAATGACCCTTTGTTTAAAAGGGCAATCTTGATGCCTTATGTAAATAAAAGTTTATATAATATACATCCTGGATTTGTTTTAAATTTAAACCTGAAGTATTCTTTATCCATTCTGATTCTTCTGATCAGACATCAGCGTACTTAGAACACAACAGTTCCCTTTGCTTCCATCTGTAACTGAAGCCAAGTCAGAGTTTCCACGTTTCCAGGTTACGATTTCCGTATTTCTACTCGAAAACTTTACTGGGGAAAAAGTACTCAGCGTTTGCAGCCAGATTGGGCTGCTTCTGTCTCTTCTCATGTCTGTGAAATCTGTATCTGTGCAGGTTGGTTCTGGGAGAAGGTCTCTTAAACTTGCCGCTGCTTCCAACGCTTGTAATAGCTAGAAGTTTTGAAGTGCTTATAGACCAATTTTTGAAGTAAGACAATTCTGATTCTGCCAAGATGAGCAACCAATCATAGAATCATTTAATTTGAAAAAAACCTAAGATCTCCAAGCCCAACCATCAACCTGACCTACTGAGTTCCATAAGTAAGCCATTCTCCTCAATGTTCGCTTGTCAGTTCCACCACCTTCCTGTGTAGTCAGACTGAAGAAATTATTTCAGATATCCAGAAAGATCTAAACCTCTCCTAGTGCAGCTTCAGGCCACTACCTTGCATCCTACTGCTTGTCACCTGAGAAAAGAGGCTGTCGTCCACCTTGCTGCAGTCACATTCTCAGGTATCTGTAGAGAGAGATGAGGTCTTCCTTCAGCCTCCTCCAGACTAAACAACCCACTCTTCATACATCTTCTTTTCCAGTCCCTTTACCAGCTTAGTTGCTTGCCTCAAGCAACTCAGCTTCCTTCTTACAGTGAGAGGCTCAAACAACACAGTATTCAAGATGTGGTCTCACCACAAGGAGGCAATCCCTTCCTTAGTCCTACAGGTGATGCTATTTCTGATTTAAGCCAAGATGCCATCAGCCATCCTGGCCACCTGGTTGCATTGCTAGCACATGTTCAGCTGAGCATCAATCAGCACCCCCAGCTCCTTTTCTTTCGGGCACCTTTTCAGATACTCTGCCCCACGCCTGTACCTCTGCGTGGAGCTGTTGTCAGTCAGGTGCAGAGCCCAGCACCGAGCCTTGTTGGGTGTCATGTGGCTGGTCTCAGTCCATCAATCCAACCTATCCAATGCAGATTCCCCCTACCCTCCATCAGATCAACAGTCCAGTCCAATTTGCTGTCCTCTGCAAACTTCCTGAGGGTAGACTGAATCCCCTTGTCCAGATTGTTGATAAAAATGTTAAACAAAACTGTCCCCTACACTGAACCCTGGGGAACACCACTGGCGACTGGCCACCAGCTGGACTGAACTCCATGATCTCTGATCATTCTCTATGATTCACTACGGCTCTTTGAGACCTGCCAGCCAGCCAGAACTTCACCCAGTGAACTGTGCACCTGTCCAAGCTGGGAGCAGCCAATTTCTCCACGAGGATGCTGTGGGAGATGAGATGGTGTCAGATGCTTTACTGAAATCTAGGTAGATAGCATCCACAGCCTGTCCGTCATCTGCTAAGTTGAGCCACCTTGTCATAGAAGGAGGTCAGGCAAGACCTGCCTTTCACTAAACCTATGCCAGCTATTTGCAATCACTTCATTGTCCCACATCCTTTGAGGAAGACCTTCACTTCTTGGTGCCTCTTCTGCTAATTTAGCTCTCAGTAGTTTTTGGAATGTTATCTCAGTTTTGTGTTTGAAATAACATATCCAAAAATATGTCAGAAGCACTATCCTGAATGGCTAACTTCCATGTGCATTTCCAAAATTCAAAGGAAGTTTCTAGTTTTGTCCTTAATCTCTGCTGCCATACATGCTGCTGTAAGCATAATTCAATCTATACTTAAAGGTCAAACCAAGTCTTAGGTTTGTTAAAGAAAACGTTCAGAATAAGTCATGTTTGTTCTCAGGAAATAACCTTACTGGCCTTGTAGTGATGTTCCAGAGACACCACAAAGATGTTTGTCAAGTTGGACACCTTCACAGCTTGGATGTAGTACTTCTTTTTCCACAACATATTCAGCCTCCTGCAAGAGTGGAGAAGAAAAAAAAAATTGTAGTTTCTGTGGCAAATACAAAGCAAAAATGAGTACAAATGAGTGAAACAGTGCTGCTTACCCAGTAAGGTCAGGCAGTTATCTCTGCAAAACAAGCCAGCAGTGTACCTCTATGTAGACACAACTTCACAGGCAAAGAGCTATCAGCTCAGCTGCTCTCACACTAGTTTCCACCCGTCGTACCATAGAAAAGTGTTAGTGTGATAAGATGGGTCACAGAAATAAGCAGGCAAGACCCAAATCACACATCTATCTTCCCCCTTTTTAGGTTAGTTCTGACCAAGATTAATTTTCTGACCTGATCCTGTAGCAATTAAAAGGTGCAATGGCAGGGCATTCCGAGGGAGGACAGAACCGTGTCTTTCAGCAGCAGGAGCACCTTGTTTTTGTAAAACGATGGCCCGAAATCAAGTGCAGAAGGGAAAATCAGCAGGTATTCTGCTTTGGGTGGAAAAGAACCATTGCTCTTTTGTGGTGTTGATTCTGAATTTCTAATTTTCTCTACACATGAGCCCATTGAAAATACCCAGACAGAGGCATAAGCTCATGGGTTGCAGGCAGAGTTTGCTGGGCTGTGCCATTTACATTTCTGTGATAGAGGCCAGAAGAAACAATTGTCTGTCACAGAGCTGTCAGGTCGCAGTGACACCTTGTTAGCTGGGGTCACTAATCATTTATAGCCTGAAGTCTTACTTTAGTTCTAAATATATGCATCTTAGTCACATATTTTAGGCCCTATTTTATCTTGAAATTGAGTCCGCAAAGCAATATCATACACAGATTGAGAAAAGTGCAGTGATAGCTGACAGTAGTGTTACTATGCGAATCCAGCATAAGTGGACTTTGAAGGGAACTGCCTGCATGAACAGGAACTGACCATGCTGTGTAGGGTGAGGTCTTGTGAAAGTGTGTCTAACAACGGAACAGAACAGAACAGAATGGAATGGAACAGAACAGTTCTGTTGGAAGGGACCTTCAAAGACCATCAAGTCCAACTGCCTGAGCACTTCGGGGCTAACCAAAAGTTAAAGCATGCTACTGAGAGCATTCTCCAAATGCCCTTTGGCCACTGGTAGGTGTTGGGCAGTAACCGCCTCTCTCGTGTTTGACCACCCTCACGGTGAAGAAATGTAGAAATTCAGTGAGAACTGTTGGTGATAGGTGGATGTGGATGGCTGGACCGGATGATCTTGTAGGTCTTTTCCAACCTTGGTGTTTCTGTGATTCTGTGAAATGCTTCCTTATGTTCAGTCTGAACTCCCCAGCGCAGCTTCGCGCCGTTCCCACGCGTCCTGCTATCGGTTCTTAGGAAGAAGAGACCGGCACAACGGCATCTCGAAGGAAAAAAGTCGGAGTCGCGGATGGAAGGTGGAGATCACCACCCGAGGATCGCTTAGGGGGGCGGAGCGGCGGCGGCCCCTCCTCCGGGCGGCTCCCGCGGTGCCGGCAGAGCCGAGCCGCACCGCACAGCAGCGCACCGCACGGGTCTCCTCCGCTCCATCCCGTTCCTGCCTGCCCCGTCATGTCATCGGCCGGCAGCCTGAGCACCATGCAGCGCCTGGTGGAGCAGCTGAAGCTGGAGGCCGCCGTGGAGAGGATCAAGGTGAGCCGGGCCTCCCGGGGGAGCGGAGGAAGCCGCGGGGGAGCTGCGGGGTCTCGGCGGGACCGGGCGCGGGCGGCGGTGCGCGGAGAGCTCTCTGTCCGGGATTCGAAGGGTGCCCGGGCTGCGGGGGCTCCGAGTCCCTCCCGCACCCGCGGGGAAAGAGCCGCTCCCCGGCGGGAGGCCGTGATGAATAATGGAGCAGCTCCGCGTTAGTTCTGCTCCGACGGGCACGCTGCTCTGCAGCCGCGCCCCACAGCTTCCCTCTGCCCCGCGCGGGGTGTTTTCGTACCGGCTGACAGCTCGGGACACAAGCGATTTTCTACGCATGCATGAACCTTGTGCATATCTCCAGACAAAGACAGGCCAGCGAGGCAACCCCGTTATCTGTCTGCTCCGATATTATTTCTTTCTTCTTGTTTTTTGTTTTTTTTTTTTGTTTTTTTCCTGTGTCAATCCAAATGCAGCCCTGCGGTGCTGCCTTGGTTCCCAGCAGGTGCAGGGTCCACAAGTTCTTCTGGGATATGATTTCTTTTTCTTTTTACACGTAAAATACATCGAAGGCTACAAGGTGATAAAAGTCTATTTAATCTGCATCCTGTACTTCCCCCTGCCCTCACCACCTCTGTGCATTCTCCATTTTTCTTTGGCCAGTTGCAAAACACTGACTTGCATAGCACTGGACTAAGTTCATGGGCTTACAAATGATTTTGGATTCCTTTTCTCACTGCTCCTGCCCTGGGCTGCTGAAAAGTCCAAGTGTCCGTTGCACCACATTGAGCACTGAACAATGTTGCCTTAACTGATTTATTAATGCTACTAAACGTTATTAGTGACCAATGAGCTTGCAAGTACGCTGAAAGTGGCCACAGCTCCTCCTGGCTGTGTGTGGGAATCTCTGAGAAATGACACAGTGCAGAACAGAAATGCTCTGTGACAAGGGGTCCCGAAGAGAAATGGCTGACTCATCACTGCTGTCATTTTAGACCACCAGCATCATCTCTCTGTCATGCCTCATTTTGAGGCATATTACAACTCCCCCCCACATTCAACTCCTTGTTCAGGTGGCTACAGCCAATACAGTTTATTGTTTAAGTGGGATTGCTTTGTGGAGGTAGCAGATACTCAACTGGACTTCCCAAGGCTATTGTGTTATACATGAGTTTGGGAGGTTACAGAGGCTGGGCCTTAGTGAAGCTTTGGTCTCCTCTTTCTCCCAGTGTTGCTACTGAAATCTCTTTCCAGATCTGTTCTAAGAACCTCTCGGTGTCTTCACAGCAACAAACCAAGTGATGCATGATAAAAACGTGTCGTCTAGGCTCCTTGATACAGAATGTAAAAACAGCAAGGGACATCTGGCTGGCAGAAACTGCATGAATCAGCTTTAGCTTCAGCTGATGGTTGGATAGGAGTAAACATTGTTTTGGCTACTTTGAATACACAGTGTGTTTTCAGGAGGAAGCTGAATATGAAAGGAGTTTTATAAATACATCCCACACTACAAGTTCCAGTGGTGATTTTGTTTACCCCGACAGCTAAAAAAGTAGACAGGAACAATATTTTCAGAAAGAGGAAACCATGAAGGAAAGAAGTACCCCCACGTGTCTTGCATGCAGGAGGCTGCTGTTCACAGCGTGCTTGTGCTGGGATGAAATACAAAAGAAATCCTTCTACTGTCCACGTCAGCTGGAGGAGAGGAGTGCTGTAGCGGCTCATTGTGTTGAGGGCTCAAGCGTCAGTGTTGTGCTTAAGGCAAGAACATTAATATTTCAGGGAGCCAACAGAGCTAGGCAGGGTGGAGGCTGCATCGCTCTTTGCAGCATCCATAAAGAGGTTGTTCCCAAGAGAGGGACAAGTGGCAAAGCCTGCTGAGCAGCAGGGAATCCTTGCTGTGGATTTTCCTCCTTGTGCTCCTCCCAGGAGGATCTGGCAGGCTGTGGGAAAATGTTTCTCTGGACAATTCCTTGCAGTGCTAACATCTGCTGGAAAGTTAGGCAGTTACTAAGACGGGTGTTCTGAAGCAGAGCTGGCAGGCAGGGAATGGGGCAGCAGCAAAAAAGCAAACAAGTGCACCCACCAGGCCAGATTTACTGATGCATTTCCAAGTGTTGTCAGATTGGATGGCCCAAAATGAAAAGCCCACCAGGGCTCCAGGGTGGCTCCTTCAGACTGGGGAGTGCCAACGGCTGTTCTGGCTCATCCCTCCCCCGTCAACAATGCAACACTGTATAGAAGAAAAAGCAGTATTTTAGAAGTTCTGTGGTGATTCTGGGGTCAGAGGAGAACTAGTATTCCAACAGTATGCTCAGAATACCAAAATGTGGCAGACAGCTCGAGCACTGGCATTTCCCTGCAGCTGTTATCAATGCACATCTCAGAAACTGGGAATTCCTCAACATTTCCCTTCAAAAATACAGACACATGACGGTCCACAGGGAGAACAACCAGCTTGCTTTTGGGCTCCTGGGCTTGTTCTGCAGCTCTGGGCTGTCCTCCCCATGGGCGTGACTTCACTGCCCGGGGAAGGTAAAATTTGAGCCAAAGGGTTTACATCCTTGTCCTCTTGCTTTCTTTCCTTATTAAGCTTTGTGTTGTTGAACAGTTTGGAAGTAAAAGTCCTTTTTGTAAATTATCTGAGAATATAAGAGTTCAAACACAAAACTGTACGGCAGAATGGAAAATGCTGTGGTCACAGCCTTGACTCTTTCAGTGAGGGTGAGTTCCATGGCACTCATACTTCAACCCTGTATGTCCAGCTCTGGCTTGTCACCAGTGTGGCAGGACATATGTCTCATCAGAGCTCTGCAGATGAGTGCTTGTGCTGATTTACTTGATGGTTTAGAATTCAAGAGCTGACTTGGCTTCTCCCCAGCTTTTTGATAGTGTTTCTTCCGGAGGAAATGCTCAATAGATGCTTGTGAATGAATTAGTTTCCTCTCTATATTTGTTTTTCCTTTTTCTTTACTCAGGTCTCCCAGGCAGCTGCAGAGCTCCAGCAATACTGTATGCAAAATGCCTGTAAAGATGCCTTGCTGGTTGGGGTCCCTGCAGGGAGCAATCCCTTCCGTGAGCCCAGATCCTGCACTCTGCTCTGAAATCAGGTAACAAAATCACAGATATCACCACCACTGCTCTCATTTGGAAGCTCTAGCAAAGACAAATGGGGCACTGTGATAGCTGCTTGAATTTTGAATTCTTCGTATAGCAAATTGTTTGCCACTTTCCTGCTGGCTCTAGAAACTGTTTTCTGCTTCTTTTAGATATGGCAACTGAACTGCACCTCTTTTTTACTGTCCTTTCTTGTATTTCTGTTTGTTTTTGCATTTCAGCAGCTCTGTACTCATTATCAGCATCTAAAATAATAAAAACTTCCCATGTGTAATTGACAAAGCCAGAATCAAAAACAGCCATGTACCTAGCTTGGGGAAGTGAGACAAAGCCATGATACTTGCACGTGTCTTGGCATAGCTTAGGCAAGAGTCTTGTTAAAAGTACATTTTGTCTTTGACATCCTCCTGCAATTCATTTGGCTGTATCAGTCTCCTTGGGGTTTTTCTTGCTATAGTTGATACAGCATCAGAATTCTTGGAAGCAGAGCAGAGCTGGGACAGTCTCTAAGCACGTTCTTTTGACGGTTTTCAGCTCAGGGCTAGAAGAGAATGTGCTAGCAGAACTCTGTCTGCCTTAGTGCTCTGCTGTGCTGTTACCTCCATAGCAACTTCAGGTGACCATTCAGCACATGGAAATCTTTGCTTTGCAGTTCTACAGTTCTCACTCTTGTCTCTTCAGTTTGTCACAGAGATGTCACGCAGAAAGAGGAAGAAATGCCATGTATGCCACTAGACTTGGGCAGAACCACACCATTACTTTCGTCAAGAAATGCTACTTCTTCTGCAGGATTAACAAATATGGAAGTAGGATAATTAGAAGAGGCTATTCTTCTGTAAAACAGAGATAGGTGCTACTGAAGAACTGAGAGAGCTACAGGGAGGAAAAGAAACACTGAATTCTCTTATTTATTGGAGAATGCAATCAAAGTGAAATGGAACTGTTTTCTGTAACAGCAGAATTTAAACTAGAATGCATAATATTTATAGGATCTTCCCCTTCTCACTGCTGGGGTTCCTGAGCTTACAGTCACTTTTTGCCTCACTAATAGCATGCTTTTGATTGTTCCTGGAAGGGTCTGAGAAACAGAATTGAACAGGAAGAGAGAACGCAGCCAAGCATGAAATGTTCTTGTGGAAAAATGGGTGGGAGAATGCACAAGCAAGAGACTTTCTTAATTTAGATGCTATCCCTTAATTCTCCCTGCCTGGAATAATGTTGATAGTGACTTTTGCACATGTTTACATGTTCTTCTGTTATTAAAGCAGCCCTTTTTTGTGTGTGTTTTGTTTCTGGAGTTCAGTTTTGATTGCATCATCAAGGCAGGATATAAAGTACTTTCCCAAGCCAGTGTTTGATGGTTGATTTATGATAGTTCTAGAGAAGAGTAGCTGGGATCAAGAAGTCTATATTTTTTTGCCAATATTTTTCTAGTTATTAATTTAGTTACCTTAGCACCATAAAAAAAAAAAAGAGAGCAAAATTGAAAAGGCCAGTGTAGAAATTTTGCAATATTCAAGAATGTCAACACCCAACAGAGGAAGGTGGCTACTCAGATTTTCTCTGTTCAAAAGCAGTTTTTTGTGCTATAGGTTATATAAGAAATGTATCAGAATAGGAAGAAAGCATTTAATGAACTCTTTTTCCTTTAACAGGGAAGGTCAGCAGAGAGATACCTTGAAGCATGACATGACTAACAATGGCCTTTTCCTCAAGAAAGTATCTCCGTGTCCTTATTTCTGCGTGGCTAAAACTTGGGTATTTGTCTATTCATTCTTGTGTGTTCATACCTCACTGTTTTACTAATGTTTTTATAGCTGTTTAATGTAAGTAGCTCTTTTTGTAAAAATCACCATTGTTATTACACTATACTATCTGTACAAATACTACTTGAGAAGTTTACATTTTTGAAAGCAAAAACATGATTATTTTTACCAAATTACCTATTTCTAACTTGGACGGTTGCTAGGCTGGAGTGATGGTGATAATTACTTGTATTTTCTGAAACAGAACATCTGAAAAGTGAGCTGTTAAAACCTAAAAGCAAATGCAGATAGTATTATGAGAACTGTTCTCTGGAGGGTTTTCTTTAAATAGCAAGATCTGAAACCAGCAACACTGTTTTTTTTTTCAAGTGCTTGTGAGTCCACAAACGACGCCTGTTAGAAACTGCTTGATGTGATGTGTAGCACACCCTTGTTCCATCAGGCACCTTACTTACAAAAGCCCTGTATTGTTTAATGCTTCTCGTAATTTGTATTCATAAACATACTGCCTTGGTGGAATCCCATGTTTAAAATGTAACCAAACTCGCTCAAAAACACTTAAGTGTCCGAGGACAGTTGTGTGCATGATTTTTGAGGTTTGAAGTACACAAAATTACACTTGGGCATTTGCCTTCACTTTTCTATAGAACACTTTTACAAGGACAAATTTTTTCTACTAGGTTTTTCATTTTTTTTACCTTCTATTGTTTGTATTAATCTTCTAGAAGTTTGGAAATAAAACTCCTTTCCTTACTGGCTTTGATTTCATTATTTAATTGTAGAAGAGAGCAAATTCATTCATGTTCTTTGAAGGTGATATTTGCAGTGGGAAGGAAGGCTTCACGCTTTTTTTTTTTTAAGGATAAGGCTACTGTTGGAATTTTAGAGAATATTTTACTGTTAGAAAGATCTAGTGTATAGTTACATAAATATTGATGCTAAACTATTAGGGCCACTTAAAGATTTTGAAGTCTGCAGTGGGGCCTTCGGTGATCTGAATATATGATTTTCATTAATGCTAACTGAAATGGTACAGTGCATGTCCTCCAAACAGTTCAGTTTTAACAAAAGATTTTCACACTTGTTGCCCTGCTGGGAGACATTGAAATGACAGTAATGATATTGCCAGTATAAACTGTACTACTGAAGTGAATGTCCTTCCTCAAGTGCCATTCTTTGCTCCTGCTTCCTTTTCGTTGTAGGCTATTGAGAGTATGGCTGCCAGCTTCTCCTGGATACTTGACACATGCACATGTTGTGGAAATCCAGAGGAAATACCGTTGTTCTTATTTGCAGAGAGGTGCTTAGAAGCTCAAAATGTTCATCACAGAGAGGAATGGAGAGAGATAAGAGTTTGCCTCAAATATCTTTGAACAGTTGGCTATCAGCCACTCCCTCCCAAATAAACCCTTTGCGTTTCTTTTTCTCACAGAATAAAACTTACCACTAGCAGCAACATTTGTTATTCTTCCTGATGCCTGGGTTCTGGAGTCACTGCTGAGCTGGCAGTGGGAGCAGCCAAACTGCCATGTGCAGGGGTGGGTGGCTGCTGCAAGCTGGTCAGTCTTGGCTCTTGCCTCTTGATCGCCCTGCCCTGCTCCATCTGGCACCTTTCAGCTGAAGCACCACTCGCTCCATGTGTGGTGTGAACGTACTCTGTGGGTGTCTGTGAAATAGAGAAAATATCTTACGTTACAAGCAGCTGCCTCTCAGAGGCCTCAGGGGCCCCAGCGCCATGCTTCGCTGAATGGCACATAATGCTGACCTGAGTCTCCGTGGGATCCCAGCTGTGTCCACACCTAATAACAGCTGCAATGAAAACCCTGTCAGCAGGTGTGAGATGGGCTGGCAGCATGCTGGTTGTGCTGAAGTCCCATGAAAGGAAGATACAGGTTCAGATATCTGCAGAGAAGTGTGCTTGCTGCACTACTTGGCTTTCTGGGTACACACTGTATGAAGTCCTTCATACCAATGTCCGGGTTCTACAGGATGCCTATGATAAAACTAATTAAATGACTGCACAAATCTGTACACATATGTGCCTAACATGAGCCACAGGGTCACCTTTTTTCTGTGGTCCCTCACAGTGAGAAGTACAATGAGTTTTCCAGCAGGGATTTTTTTTTTTTTTTTTTTACTTCTAGAGCCAGGTCACCTAGCATTTCACAAACGTGATTGAAGAAATGAGTCTACCTGCCACTGATGGAAGTCTGGTGATTAGGAAACCTCTCATTCTCACACAAAAAAATGCATAATAATAAAAATAATAATAATAAAAAATAACTGCATAAAGATCTCCCCAGATGTGAAATTCTCATATATGGCTGCTTTTTTCTCTTTTTGAGGGGAGGGCAAGGGAGGATTTGCATAGTACCGATTTTCCTCTACATTAAACAGAAAGGAATTAGGGGAAGAGTATCACATGTGATAAAGTTGCCATTAGGTGTGTAAACTGTCAAAGATTTAGAGTCACAAATAGAGTGAAAATTAAATTGCAAGTTCTTCTCCTACTTTGCCAGTATCAGAATGTATACTGACATTTTCCTACCTATTAGCAACTGGGTACAGATGACACTTGAATTTCCTTCACTAACTGAATGTAGGCAACATATGGTTTGCCTTTGTTTTTGAAGGAATCAATAGATTATTTGAACTAGCCTTTAATGAATGTGTACTTAAAGTTCTGGTGCCAGCCTCTGTGTGAAAGGATATAAATACATAGCTAGGGAGCGGCTCCTGTAATTTTCTCCACTGTGGTCATCTGTGAATAAATTTTTGCAGAGCTGCACTCTTAAAAGAAGAAATTCCCGAGCCTGGCAAGCTGGGAGACAGTTCTGAAAAACAGAGCCAAATCTGTGTTGTAAAGAGATGGAAAATGGTTAGGTCAAGCAACCACAAAAATGGGCCAGAAATAGCGAGCAAAATGCAACTTTTATTTTAGTAACTATTTTGTACTGGTCAAACATGGAAACACTGGCAAATTTACAATCCTACAAAAGATTTTATTCATATTACACATGAAAAGTTTTTTCTGAATTCCTGCTAACAGTTTGGATACAAATAACCTGTGGATATTACTGTGAACTATGATTACTCCTGGAACTGACACTGTAATTCTAGGAGTTCTCAGTTAACAATCAGAGAAGCCAAAGCTGCTCCTTTAAGAACTGGCTGTATTTATCCAGATAATGAATATGTGCTTAATGAAGACTCAATATCAATAAACTATTTTGCTGCAGGCCTGAACCATACATTTGCTTTTATTCTGTTACTGCATTAAACTTAACAATCAAAAAAAGCGAGTTTGAAAAGTGACTCATCAGAATGGAAAGTCACTGAGCAGGCACTGATCTTCTGAAGCTGGCAGAGTATGCATGCCAGCAGCAGCATGGAGTTACTCTCTACCACTGCCTTCACAAATATTTCTAGCTCTGTTGTGAAATCTTTTGCTGGAGAGTGGGGAGTTGGACACATCCTTTCTTCTGCAACTTGCAAATTAGATGATTTTTTGTTGTTGTCTAACCTCCTGTGCTGCCTTGCTGTAGCCTAGAATTTCTGGTGTTGTCTCCTAGATGATTCTCATCTTTCACACAGAAGCAGTGTAGCAGGCTGGAAAATGGGTACATCAACAAACAGCCTCCACTAGATTATGTGGAAAACTAGAGTCACAGCGTTATCTTCTGAATCAAATCCATGAGAATCATAAACTTCAGCTGTCTTTCATGTGCTGTCCACATAACAAGTGCGTTGTTTCTGAAGGTTAATTATGACTAAAGCCACACTCAAGCCATGAAGGAACTCATAACATCACAGGGCTCCCAGAGGGGCTGTCAGAAGGAATGAAGTGGAATTGAACCCAGAGGACAAACAGAAAGATCTCTTGCTTCATTTCTAAGACTTTATCATCAGTTCTGAGATAAAGGCAAATCCAGTCTGCTATAAAATGTGGAAGCCTGCATGCTCAGGGAGGAAACATAGGTTGTTTGAAAGCTCAACATGCTTTAGCGTGTTATTTCTTTTTTCTTTTTTCAAATAAAAAAACAACAAGGTAACTTTATACAACCTAAATGAACAAACATTTAAGTGTTTACATCAGTAATTCTCCTGCTTAGAGGAGCTGGTTTGTTTAGTGAGAACTAAAAAAAGAAATCCTTGTTTAGTCAGAAATCCCAAACACCATTTTCCCTTTAAAAATGAACAACAACAACAAAAATGTAATAAATTTCCACTCAAATGGTTTAAGGATTGGGAAGAATAAGAAAAAAAAAGATGTGGCATGCAAGTCGCTATTCAATTCAAAAGAATTTAAGACGTGTTTGTCCATCAGCTCTTCCAGGTACTCTTTCATACATCAATCTCCTCTTTTTAATTCTTGGTACTTCTTCAAGTCCTGAATCTGGTAAAGAAGTGGCAATTAAGTATTGGCGTAACAAGCTAAAAATATAAAATCAGCTACACGTTTCTCAGAAGCAGTAACAGGCTTCAGCTTCAACTAGTTTGTATGAAAAACATTAAGTACTGTAGAATTGAGTATGTACAGATATTAACTGCTGTTTATTAATCAGTTTGATGCATTTTACCTCATAATAATAGTATAGGACCTTATATGCAAAATCAGCCTGCGCTGTGCTTAACCAGAATATTTCAGTACAAGTTTTCAAACTTATTTCTATTTCATTAACACTACACTCTGTACAGCTCAGTAATTACAAAAGCTAATTCTTTTGAAACAGAAACAGAAGTTGTTCAGTTGTTCCTAAGTTAGTTTAAGAAAGTTTTTTACATTCTTAAGTATTTTTTACAATAAAATATTTGAGAAGTTATTTTATCAGTACACTTTAATGGAAGAAAATTCTGTTTAGGCCTTGCAAAGTGTACTTTATAGAACTTTAGATAGAGCTTTAGACACTTAGAACAATAGAACTTTAACACTTATTAAACAATTTCATCTGCGTCAGTAAAAATAGTGGTTCAGTGTATTACCATTAATTGTTTGAGGTTTAATTAATATTTTTTTTCTGAAACTTACAGAAATCCTTGAAGGTTTCCAATGTGTCTTTCTAACTTGACTCTGCATACATTTCCTAAATCTGAGATTTCAGAAAGCTTTCACTGTATTGAAGTGTTTTTTGCATTTTTTGCACAGCTTACCTGGTTTTTCCCTTGGCTAATGGATGATAAAGTAAAACATGCCTGTTGTTCCATAACATCAGGCAAATTCCCTTACCCTTTCCTGATTTGATTCAGTTGTAAGTATATCTTTGCCATATCAGGAAAGAGTATCAGAAAATTAATCAGTGGGAGATCACGTTGTTTTCAGAATACTGTAATAGAAGCAGTCCTGATCAACTG